CATAGGGCACCTTCCTGGAGCATGCCCAGAGGCTGGGTCCTCCAGAGAGACACTTTGGCACCTGGCCAGAGCATCTCTGGCTGCGCTGTGCCCTGCTGCCCCAGCGTGCTGGGGCAAATAGGAGCGGGGCAAGGCTGCAGCAAATAGGAACAAATAGGAGTGGGGCAAGGCTGCAGCGGTGATTTGGACCCAGACTGTGTCCCAGGTAAGTAGGGATGTGGGGGTTGTGATTTTTCTAAATTCTTTGCAACAGAAGAATTGCCCTGTTCTTTTTCTGTAGTAAAACAAAGCAAAACAAGTGAAAACTAAGAGCTGGTGTTTTCCTAGGGGTGCCTCAAGACTATTCAGGAGTGCCTTGAGTCTAAAAAGGTTGAGAACCACTGCTCCAGCACCTCTCTGCTGGTCTGCAGTCTGTGTGGAGATGTGGCAGGCTATTGAATGATGATGATATTCCAACTATTTGGGCTATCCTCAATGATTGGAGAGGACCAAAGACTTTTTTTTTTTAGATGACTTAGCTTCTGTAATAAATTATGGAAGATGGATAAGGCTTTTGCACATAGCCTGTCTTCCATTAATTTTCCTGTGGCTAACTTTTCCAAAAGCAAATATGCTGTCTCATTGAAGAGATGATGGAAAATAAATTCTTCGTGTTCATGTCAATAAAACTGACTCAATACAGTGGTCTGCCCTTCTAGGTGGATGGGCCCCTGCGTGACTTTATATTAACAAACAAGCTGTCCAGGATCTTAGGATAGTTAAGGGCACTTAACTTGAAACACAAAATATCTAGCCATCAAACAGTCCAGGGTTTTTCGTGTTTATTCCAAGTGCTCTTCTGGTGGCTCTTGACGAAGCAAAATCAATCTATTTTAATGTGTTAGATTAAAAAGTGAGAATTGGATTTCTGAGCCCAGATTCCTGCCATCTAAAATCTTGCTCCTGCTACAACCACAGTCATTTTTATTTTCTCATCTCATGTGTTTCTCTGTTGGGAGACGGCAAAAGATATCTGATGAGACATTTGAACAAAACGCTGTCTCAAAGCTACATGAGGCACCCAGTTGAAGGACTGTGGTCTTTGAAATCTTATGATTACCGTCAACTCAGATGAATTGCCTTTAGACGGATACCTCTCAGGATCTCCTTCCTACATGTCATAATTTTCAGGTTGACGTATTAAGAGTATACTGTGAATATGATTGATATCAGTAACTGATAGGGGATTTGTGCAAGTTCTTTGTGTACCTTTCTGCGTTTTGTACCTACAGCTGTTTTTTGGTATGCTAGGCCAGATCATCGGCGCCTGTCAATTTGCATAACTCCACGGAAGTTAATGGAGCTAGTCCAGTTTTTATAGCTGAGAATTGGGTCTGTTGTACCCAGAACAATTTATTCATCTTCCACTTACCAAGATAAACATACACCACTTCCTTTATCGGACAAAATCTGCATGTAACTGCCCTTTCTCACCAGGAGAGGAAGGGATAAGGAAGGAAATTACCGTATGGGACAGAGGCCAGTTGCAATTTACTGCATATTGCTTAGAGCATTCAAGTACTGTGATGATGAAACGTAGTAGAGCAAAGAATAATTTTCTATATAGATTCTGGTCCTGCAAGTTCTTGAACCCAGATAGATGCTGTCACTGGTTATATCCCCTTTTGCAGAATTTATGTGAAACAAACAGCCCATGTTGAAATGGGAATAGCTGAAATGTTTTGTGTATGGAAATGTTGATGAAAGACTACAGACCTCTTTTGCCACACTGAGTATCTTAGGCAAAGCCTTTGGTGGTATTTCTGTAATTTTGAAATTTGATTTAAGAGACATAACATTGATAGTATGGACCTAAATATAACACACAAGATGACTTGCATGTGTTTTTTTGTTTTGCTTTTTTTAGTTGTAGTACTTGAGACCTGTGTGTCAAAGGTACTTGTCTAGCCTTCATTACTGTCATATTTAAGCACCATATAGTCTTTAGTGTATTTATAGTTGTAGGATCCCTGTGAAGAAGGAAAGTGCTACCATCCCAGTTTTGTATATGGCAAACTGGGGCATTGAGAAAAACTAAGCAACTTGGTCCCACTAGAAGTCTTGGAATACAGGAAGGGACTGACCCTAAAGTAGTACCGAGTCCTAGGCTAGCACCCTACTCAGTCCATCCTTCCAGTCATAAAACTAAAACTGTAAATCACTTCTCATTGGCATGAGTTTGGACAGCAAATAGGGCCACAGTCCTGCATTTGACACCTTTTTGATTCCTTAAAATAGTAGAACTAATACTAGATAAATTATTTAAGCCAAAACTTATCTGCTTGTTAATAAAGTCCAAATTCTCTTGCTATTCTCGTGCAACTACACTGATGACAGCAGGATTGCAACATTTTTAATAAGAGAAAACATTGGACTACTACCCCTGGCTTTCCTGTAGAGATGTTTGAATATCAAACAGGCTGATTTGGTTTTGAACACTTCTGTAGTCTTATATGAAATCTAGACTTGTAGACTAACAACAAGCAGTGATCTACAATGTCATGCTGCTGCAGCAATGAGATTGTCTGAATGTGGAGCAATATATTATCATCGTCTTTCTATTCTGCAACACTTTAATGGCCCTCCTAGCATTTAGTAGTACTGTTAAACTTGATCTGGTGTCTTTTTTTTATCAAGCTTGTGATGACTAAATATAGACAATATATAATGAGTTTTGAAAAGTAATTAATATTTTGACACATGCTGTAAAAACTGAAGCAATGTCCCTTGAATTCAGTGGGATTTGGTTTATATTGTGGAGTGGGTGCTACACTGGATAATGTAGATTGCTAGATGTTGGTCTTATCGGCTAATTCTGACTGAAGAAAATTAAGCCCAATTCTGTGTAATGCAGAAAAGCTATGAATTTTGGTGCAGTTTCTCTGGTTTTACTTGGGTGTGGCTTAAAAAAACCCAATATGGCCTTTGCTCTGGATGCAAAATTGATCTTTTTAATGTAAAGCAAAAACCAAGCACAACCAACTCCTCCCCCCCCCCCCAAACCAAAAC